CACAAATAACCTTGTGGAAGGTGAGAATCCATCTTTTTCCAGAGATAGATAGATAGATAGCTCGATAGCTAAGAAAGTGACTGAGATAGAGAGATAGATAGTGTGTGTGTGTGTGCGTCTGTGTGTGTGACTGAGTGCAAGAGAGAGAGAGAGAGAGATGAGTGATGGGGAAGCTGAAGAGAGTGATAGAACGAAAATAAGGAACAGAAAGAAAAAAAGTCGCGAATAATCATATGTTAGAGAATCGGTAAATGCAAAAAGTGAGAATTGCTAAGAGAGACAAAAAAGCAAAATCTGAGACTTCGAGAAATTTAAATAAAAGATTATTTGAACGCAAAGGGGATATTTAAAAAAAAAAAAAAACAGTGCACCCCATGCGTCAGCCGTTCATCGTAATGAATCTGACAATGAACCTGACCATAAATTCGACATAAATGCTGTTTTAAGTCAATAGAAAAATTAATTTACTAAGGCGAAGGTTTATAGAAAAAAATGAAATGTTTTCTGAATCTTTCGAAGTACATTTGCGCCTAGGTTCTCACAACATTTAACCTTTCTTAAAATATCTCTGGCATTGCAATGTGGGATATTTAAAAATAAAAGTAAAATCAACAAAAATGTCTTTGGGAAACCGAATGAGATTGGTTGAGCTGTGCGCCTAGACACGTCGGACGTCAAAAAACTTTCAGTTTTAAAATTTAACGTTTCTACATCTCCAAAGTTTTTCCTCGGTGCAATTGTAATCGACATTTATGTTTTTCTCTCGCAGTCCCTACATATAAGTAATTCCATCAATAAGAATATTAATTTAATCTGATGAAGTCCTTTCAGAGAACGAAACACGTTACATAGATTCTTTCCAGTTTGTCATTCGATTATCCAAAATTGTTCTGATATTTAGAGAGTAATGTATCGTATTCTTTCTCTCTCTCTCTCTCTCACACACACACACACACACACGCATATATACCGGGAGTAACAGCAAAATTGTCGAAATCGTGTTACAGCGTGGGAAAATTGTCTGCAATGACCTCCTAATGATATTAAAAGTCATCTGGTGTGATTCGTGTCCGGGTCTCATAGTCAGAAATGAACGTTTTAGCCATTCGCCCTGACTATATTGAAACAAATTTAAAAGGTCTCTTGAGCATGTCCGTTTCCCTTTTGGGTAGAGAAATAATTTATGGGAAGTAAAAAGAAGAACGGGTAAAACTAGTAGAGCTCTAGACAACCTTGTGCTGAGATGGGATGACCAAATAATTACTTCATGAGTAGATCCACTAAAACACGTCATAAAGATGTCGTTAAAAAGTGGAAAGAGAAAGATTGTGTAGTTTCTGGAAGTTGGGTCATAAAATAATGAACGTGAACAGAAACTATTTTAAATTGCATCATGGAAAAGTGAATTCATTTTTATTACGATTTTCTTATTGGTTTTATTTAATTATTCAAAAATGCCACCCCCACATATATATATATATATATATATATATATATAAAACTAATTATTTTTAATAATATGTAGAAATCTCCACCCTTTACCTGATGACGGTCGCGAGACCAGAAACACGTGTAGTAAAATTATGGAAAATAAAGTATAATATTCTTTTAAAAAATCCACATTACAACCAAAACGTTTGCGATATCTCTCTTCTTTTTAATATACACGCTTTTCTCTCGTTGGAACTACTATAACATTTTCCTTTTATATATATATATATATATATATATATATATATATATATATTGTTTATACAATATATTTATAGAAGATACAAATATTTAAGTAAGTGTTCTTTTTATAATAAACAGTATTCACGACATTTACCGGCCTGAATGTCCGAGAAATTTCATAGAAAATATGCGTCCTCTGACAGGAATCGAACCTGTATCCTATACGGAACCGTCATATAGCCTGACCTAATATACCAATGTAACTACAAAGGAAGCTTCTGGTTAACAAGGCAGAATTACTGCTTTTAAACTAAAAATTTCCCATGATGTCTCTCGAACGCTCATATCTGTAATGGTTCTGTGTAGGGCACAGGTCCGATTCGTATCGCTTTATCACATCTTCATTGTGGCTAGACATCCGATTGTTTCAAGTCGGGATCGAAACTGGACCGATTTGACAGCAATGAAAGATTTACCCCAAGGCTATCGGCGTAAGGCAGAGAAGGGAAATTTTTAACGCATTATATATGTGCTATATAAACGCCGTACCGGCCGCCATCGCGCTCAATTCTTTTTTCCATAGTGCTCAATCGGCGAACGAGGGCATATATGTATACTATCATAATTGCTACTTTATTACTTGATATTTATCCCGATCACAATTGTCGAAGACTTTGAAACGCCGGCATAAAAATTATCCTTCTGAAAAACTCCAACAAACATCTTTCTTCTTTAAGCAGAGAATAATTATAAATTTTAATTTTGATAACAAAGACTTAAGGTATCCGACTCATTAGCCTAGCCACGAAGCAATCCAATTTAACTA